GCCTGCCTGTAGGCTTTTTTTTTTTAAAGATTTATTTTTATTGTTTTTTTATTGGAAAGGCAGATATACAGAGAGGAGAGACAGAGAGGAAGATCTTCTGTCCGATGATTCACTCCCCAAGTGAGCACAACGGCCCGATGCTATGCCAATCCGAAGCCAGGAGCCTCTTCCGGGTCTCCCACGCGGGTGCAGGGTCCCAAAGCTTTGGGCCGTCCTCGACTGCTTTCCCGGGCCACAGGCAGGGAGCTGGAAGGGAAGCGGGGCTGCTGGGATTAGAACCGGCGCCCATATGGGATCCCGGGCGTGCAAGGCGAGGACCTTAACCACTTGCACCACGGCGCCGGGGCCCTGCCTGCCTGTAGGCTTTTTGATTTGATCAATATCTGCTTGTTGTGAGGGGGGAAAAAACGTCGATGTCTACTGTACACAGCGGAGGGCATTTGAAATCTCATTCCTCAAAGGCAACTACTGTGAACAGCTAGATGCACGTCCCCTGGTATTTTTTGTGTGCTCAAATCAATGCATGTGTATTGACTCAGAGAAGATCAAACTAAACTAAACACGCTGTTTTGTAGTTCGATTTTTTTTCCCGCCCATTCAATCCTTTTAACCACTTCCCTAACTCAGACTTATTTTTTCTTATACTTCCAAGAATGCTCCAATGACTGTGTGTGTGCATGTACGTGCACAAGTGCACACGAGTCTGAGAATTGTCCACACGTGGACTTACAGAGTCAAAAAAGAGCAAATGAACTTCTTTTTTTTTTTTTTTTTAAATAAATGAACAACTGAAAATAGTCATGGTGGTGGCTGGCAGTGTAGTGTAGTAGGCTAATCCTACACCTGCAGAGCTGGCCTCCCACATGGGCAGCAGACACCAATTTGAGTCCCGGCTGCTCCAATTCCCATACAGCTCCTTGCTTGTGGCCTAAAAAAGCAACAGAGGATGGTTCAAGTCTTTAGGACCCTGCACTCGCGTGGACAATCCAGAGGAAACTCTGGGCTCCAGATCACCCCAGCTCTGGCTGTTGAGAGGCTCTGCCTGTGAAAAGGTAAATGTTGCACACAGCCTCTCAACTGCAGACTGGCTCACAGGTAAGTCTCATGTATGCCTGCTGGGTAGGCAGGCAGGACTCAAACTCCAGTAATTCTAAAAAAACAGGCTAATTTTAAAAAGTTGATCATTTTGTATGGCACACAGCTATTATAAACATCCATGTGGCCCTTGCTTCCCGACTGCATGTGCAGGCTCTGTGTGAAGCAGTCATCATTCTTGGGGGGCCAGGATAGCATCTTCTGGGGCTCAGGTCCTGACTGGACACTGATCACCTGTCCCCAAATGGGGGCACCAACCAGGGCTGGGTCAGGCTGAAGCCAGGAGCCTAAAATGCCATCCAGTTGCTCCATGTAGCTGACAAGGACCCAACTCCTTGAGCCAGCACCTGCTGTCACCGCCCCTAGAGCACACATCAGCAAGACAGATGAGAGGCAGAGGGACCGAGTCTCACCCCTGTGGGACAGGGGTATTATGAACAGCGACTTTAGCCACTGAATCGAACACCCACTTCCAGTCCTGCCTTTTTGATGCTTTGCCTCTCACAAGGATGGGGTGGCTCTCCCCTCTGCATGGGGTTCCTGACCCACATTTTTCCTCTCTAGAAGATTCTGGATGACCCAGGTCTGGCTGAGTCACACCAGGTTCAAGGCCAAAGAGAAGGCCAGGTTTCTCCGCAGGACCAGACGGCTGGAGAATGAGAGTGGCTCAGCACCTTTCTATCAGGGATTCTCTCTGCATCCCAGGGCCTACACAGTTCTTCCCCAGGGCCAACAAGACGCCTGTGTGTGATTTAAGAATAGAATGGGTCAACATAGACGTCAAAGCTGACCAGTAAGTGACCCTGACGGAAGTGATTGGGAAGCTGGCAATACTGAAGGATGCCCCTGATGTCTGCAGAGGGCTTGGCAGCAGTGTCAAGTGATCTGAGGAGGGCATTGATAAAGCACCCAACTGGCGGAAGCGGCTTTCAGGAACAATTCACATTTATTGAACAATGACTCTTGACTAAATAAACTTCAAATACGGCAGAGATTAAAGAGTCTGTTGCTTAGATGACATCGTTTCTTGTCAACAAACGAAGGGTGGTCCATGAAGTCACTTAAGTGCCGTCTTCAAGCTGAGGCCTCAGTTCTGGGCGCAGGGTGGACCTGGTCCTCGTGCCCCTTGGAGGGAACCTCCTGGGAACTACTCCTTGTTCTCGTACTTGTGCTTGATGTGCTTCCACAGCTTCTGCATGTGAAAGACAAGAGCCACAGGCTTTACCTTTCGCCTGTTGCACACGTGACCAGCATTCCTGGTACCCCTGGCTTCTAGAATGAGATTCCTCATTCAAAACATGCGGGGGTTGGGGAGCAGGAGTCTAGCAGTCGCTGAGACACTGGTTCGGACACCTGCCTTGCCTATCAGAGTACGTGGGTTCAAGTCCCAGCTCTGCTCCCTGCTAATAATGTGCAGTGGGCAATGACTCAAGGGGGAGAGACCCAGGTGGTTTCTGGCTCTCTTCTAGCTGTTCCAGAAACTTGGGAAGTGAGCCACCTGTTAGGAAATTTGTCTGTCTTCCAAATAAAATACACATGTACAGAGCTGGCACAGTGGCTCAACAGGCTAATCCTCTACCTATAAGCGCTGACACCCCCTATGAGCATCAGTTTGTATCCCAGCTGCTCTACTTCCCACCCAGTTCCCTATTTATGGCCTGGGAAAGCAGAGCAGGTCCAAATCCTTAGGACCCTGTACCCATGTGGGTAACCCAGAAAGAAGCTCCTGGCTTCAGACTGTATTGGCTAAGCTCCAGCCATTGCGTTCATTTGGTGAGTGAACCAACAGATGGAAGATATTTCTGTCTCTCCTCTCTGTAAATCTGCCTTTCTCATAAAAATAAATAATAATAAAAACGTATGTACATAAAACAAAACAAAACACTACACACTCAATGGGCAAACATGAAGTGATCCTCAGCTCCATATACAATTCCTAACTTTTATAAAATCCTCTGTTGCTCTCCCCAGCCGTGGTAAGGAACTGGGAAGGGACCATCTTCCTCTGACAGGAAATTGAGGTGGAGACAGAGGAATTGTCCTAAAATATTAAGAAATGGGGCCTGGGAGTGTCTTGGTGCTTCAGCTCCAAGGTGTGAGGTACAGTCTTAGGAGGAGGTCTTAGGTACAGTCCCCAAATTTCTCACATGGTGTCATTTCTATCACCTTGGGACCTAAACCGGATTAACTCACACTAAAATTAATGCCTTAGAGGAAAACGGGCTGAGTGGTGGTAACATATTTAGATAGCTTTTCAAATCAGGGGAAAAGGGTCTGGTGCAATAGCTAGTGGCTGAAAGTCCTCGCCTTGCAAACACTGGGATCCCATATGGGTGCCAGCTCGTGTCCCAGCTTCTTTACTTCCCATCCAGCTCCCTGCACGTGGCCTGGGAAAGTAGTTGAGAACGGCCCAAAGCCTTGGGATGCTGCACCCAAGTGGGAGACCTGGAAGAAGCTCCTGGTTCCTGGCTTCAGCTCAGCTCAGCTCCAGCTGTTGTGGCCACTTGGAGAGTGAACCAGCAGGTGAAAAGAAAAGTCTTTCTCTCTGTAAATCTGACATCCCAATAAAAACAAATAAGCCTTAAAAAAATTCAATGGAAAAAAAAAAAATAACTAAACTACTTACACGAGCTGGGACAAGGCCAATACTTTGCCATGGGCAGTACCTCCTTACTGAGCAGAACTGTCCTAGACTCAATCAACCAGCCTAAAGGAAGAACACACAGGAATGACAAGCAGGGCTTCTCCTGGCATGGGCTCAGTTCTTGTTGGTCCTTTTAAATATTTTATTTGGAACACAGAGCCGGGTCTCTTCCACCCTTTGGTTCATCTCCCACAGGGGTGGGCAGATAGCCATCACGTGCTGCCTTCCGGGGTGAGCACCCGCAGGAAAGCACATCGGAAGCCGAGTAGCCGAGATTCAAACAGAACACCCCAAGTGAGGACTGCGCAGCAGGGCCACCAGCCGATAATACCGAGCACACAGGGCCCGGCCCAGCGACTCCCTGCCTACTTTGCCTGTTCACTGCACTAGTTAACACACGCTATTTGGGGCATGGAAAACGTCTCACTCCCTGCTTCTCTTGCCCTTGAACCCTTCAGAGAAGGGTCCAGGTACCAGTCTTGGCTCACCAATGGGCTCTGCCCGGAGACGCGCCCCTGGTTTGGTTTTCAGAAAACCACGGTGGAACTTGTCAGATACCTACAACCCCTGAAAGATGGGACCTGTTGACCTCCCCTCCCCCCACCCGCCTCTTACGTTTTAGGGTCCACGCCAGGCCAAAAGGGCAAACGGCAGCTCAGCTCAAGACAGGTGTCTCCCCTTCCTGGTAAAACACTGAATTCTGTCCAACCTTCATTCCCAGGCATGTTCCCCATCCGCCAATCCTCCCCCAACTCAAGGTCAAGCACCGCCCGGGCCCTCACCCCCTCGTTGATGTGTTCGTAGATGGCGTCCGCGCCTTGGTCGAAAGCACGCTCAAAGAACAAGGCGCCCACCGCGATGGTGAGAGCGAAGGTGGAAGTCCTGCGGAACAGCAGGGTGTACAGTCTCGAGGTAAGCGTAGGAACCGCCATGTTTCCTCAGTGCCAATCTAGCGTCTCCGCGCCTCAGCCGAGTCCGACCTCTCGCTCCCAGGGCGCTCGGCACGCGACGCCTTATGGGAGCTGTAGTTCTGCATCCTATTCCTCCTCTTCAAACACCGAGATTACTACAAGCCTGAACGTGAGGAGGAAAAGAAATCCCAAAAGATCAATACCACCACAGACCAAGTACTTTGATAGGGCTGATAGTCCGGTTTTTCTTCCGAATGAGTTCTGCTTGAATAGGTCGAACTACAACTCCCAGAAACCCCGGCGCTTCTTCTTTCTCCTCCTCCTCCCATCTCTCACCTCCCCGACCCGGGGCTCCTCTCCGTTTAGATTCCCAAAGCTCTCTGGGAAGGGCGGACCGACGCCCCAGGAAGAACTACAAATCCCAGCGAGCAGTGCGCGGCGCGAGGGCGCGGAAGGAGGAGTCCGGGGGGCCGACTGGCCCCACCGAGCCAGGTACCTTCCTTGGCGGGACGTGGAGGGGTGGCGAGTCTTGGTTTCCAACCCACGCCCCGTTCTCCAACTCTTCCTTATTAAGAGTGCGTCGGGACCACCATTCCCTGAGATGTGGGGTCGTGGAGAGAGGGGCGAGTGGATTTTGGGGTGCGGGGGTGTCCCAGGACACTGGCCTCTTGTTTTGGCTTTCTAACATTCTGGATTCCAGGCTTAAGAAAGGGACGGTTCTTCCTGGACTTCCTGGATCCCCGGCATTTGAACTTTTGAGACTGGACCACTCCTTCCCACTTGGGACTTGGGTACCTGGGGGGCGTTCTGAGAGCTTGCAGAGGTGGTGGGGAGGGGACCTTGCGTCCAGGGACCCCACCCCCAAAGCGGAAAACACTGAACTAGGAGCGCTCTGTCGGCAGTGTGAGAGCTGAAGTGACAGTGGTGCTTTTGAAGCTTGGGTGCCGGCTCCGAGGGTCACGCTTGTTGGAGATGTGAATGGAGGGTAGTCGACAAACAGGAAAATGTGGGTCCAGTTATCAGGTGGTGGCTCCGGGGCCTGGCAAGTTTGCAGGTCTAGCCTTGGAACAGAGTATGAAGTGGGCTGGGGTCAGCTCAAGTTTGACCTTCTAATCTATGGAAAAGGGTCTTATTATTATTTTTTAATCGCACTAGGAAGCCCTCAAGGCTTTTTGTAGGAACAAAGACCTCATTTACATTGTAATATCCTGCTAGTTGCTCTCTTGAGAATTTACCAGAAGACTGGGAAGTGGTTGTGATGGATTTGATGAGGGAGGGAGGGAATTTAGATTAGAGTGTAGATTGGAGTAGTGATCAGATTTGAGGTGAGTTTGGGAGGTGGAAGAAACAAAACAAGCAGATGATCAAGTGAGAGAAGGATGTGTGGAGAAAGACAATGAAAAGAGAGATTTTAATTTTTTTTTTTTAATTTGAGAGACACAGATCTTCCGCCCATCCCCCGTGGTTCACTCCACAAGTGACTGCAGCATCCAGGACAGGGCCGCAGGAGCCAGGAACCTAGAACCCAATACAGGTCTCCGCCCTTGGAGGTGGGAACTCACGGCTTCAGCCCTCACCTGCTGCCTCCCAGGTGTGTGTGTGTGTATAGTTATCGTATCTACATCATCTATATTTTCGTGATTCTATTGGCTTGCAAGTGAGAGGGGGAGAGTAAATGACCTCACATCCACTGGTTCACTTTGCACATGATTGCGGCAGCCTGGAAGCCGCAGTCCAGCCAGTGAACCCCATTTTAATTCATCTGAAATGATCAATGGTGATGCCTGCTTAGAGGTGCTGGAAGGAGCCATGTGAAATGTTCTGTCTCCATGATATGCTTGTACCTGGCCAAGCACCCTGGTAGCCTGCTGGGGTTGGGGTTAATTGTGAGGCTCCAAGGAGGGATATGCTGGTCATACCGCAGACTAAGCGATCCAGAAGTTAGAGGAGGACTTCCTTCAAAGAAAGGGCCATGATGGCACATGACCACTGGGAGTCAAAGGGGTGACTTCCTTCATTCTTTTTTCTTTTTAAGATTTTAATAAAAAGTTTTTATTGGAAAGTCAGATTTTTTTAAAGATTTAATTTTATTATTTTTTCATTGGAAAGGCGGATATACAGAGAGGAGAGACAGAGAGGAAGATCTTCCATCCGATGATTCACTCCCCAAGTGAGCGCAACGGGCCAATACTGTGCCAATCCGAAGCCAGGAGCCTCTTCCGGGTCTCCCACGCGGGTGCAGGGTCCCAAAGCCTTGGGTCGTCCTCGACTGCTTTCCCAGGCCACAGGCAAGGAGCTGGAAGGGAAGCGGGGCTGCCGGGATTAGAACCAGCGCCCATATGGGATCCCGGGCGTGCAAGGCGAGGACCTTTAACCACTTGCGCCACTGCGCCGGGCCCGGAAAGTCAGATTTACAGAGGAAGAGAGACAGAGAGAAACATCTTGCATCCACTGATTCACTCACCAAGTAGCCACAACGTCAGTGCCGAGCCGATCCAAAGCCAGGGGCCAGGAACTTCTTCCAGGTCTCCCACGCTGGTGCAGGGTCCCAAGACTTTGGGCTGTCCTCAACTGCTTTCCCAGACCACAAGCAGGGAGCTGGATGGGAAGTGGAGCAGCTGGGATTAGAACCAGGACCCATATGGGATCTCGGTGCATGCAAGGCGAGGATTTAACCACTGGACTATTGCGCCTAGCCCTTGCTTCATTTTTTTTTTTTTAAGTGATTCTCATTTGTGGAAGATCCTTTTTGGCTTTAAGCCATCAATTTCAATTTAAAAATCATGATTCTATTGGTAAATCTAGGAAAACAAGGTAAATGACCTTAAGATTTGGGTGCTTTTAAATTAATATCTGAACAAAAATCCCTGGAACTAATTTGCACTAAATTCCTTTAAACACTCAGCTCTATGTGCAGCTTGATTACATTTCCTTGGAAATTATAACTCCAATTATAAATTTAATAGATTTGATTTTCTTTGTAAATACTTCAGTAACATAGCCTAACAAGCACAATTTCCCCGGGATATTTAGACAGTTACTGGGAAATCTAATCAATTAGATGGATAAACATCCTGAATTTCCCATTCCTGTTAACAGTTCGGAGCTGTAGTGTTCCATTTTCTGAGGTGTCAGCGGTCCCTATTTTTAGTCACAGGTGGTCGACCACACTCCAGAAATATGAGAGAGAAAATTCCAGAAACAAATCATCCGTCAGATTTTAAATTGTGCCTGATTGAAGTGGTGTGATGAAACCTCACACTGTCCTCCTGTGTCCTGCTGGGAGGTGACTCGTGTGTGTGTGTGTGTGTGTGTGTGTGTGTGTGTGTGGTAGCCACACTACGTGTGCCGCCTGCCGGTGGTTCATCATTAGCCAGTTATCAGATGGAATAGCGCAGTGCCCGTGTTGTAATTAGAATGGGGGTTACCCCTTGGTAATGTTTGCAGCTCTCCTGGTGAACCAACTGCTAATGTCTCCACTGATTACACAGGTGTAAGACTGGTTACTGACCTATTTTTTTTTTAAGATTTATTTTATTGTTTTTATTAGAAAGTCAAATATCCAGAGAGGAGGAGAGACAGAGACAGAAAGATCTTCTGTCCACTGATTCACTCCCCAAGTGACCGCAACAGCCGGAACTGTTCCAGGAACTTCTAGCCAGAAGCCAGGAACTTCTTCTTGGGTATCCCACTCAGGTGCAGGGTCCCAAGGCTTTGGGCCATCCTCGACTGCTTTCCCAGGCCACAAGCAGGGAGCTGGGTGGGAAGTAGTGTATCCAGAATATGAGGCAGTGCCCATATGGGATCCCGGTACATGATAGGCGAGGACTTTAGCTATCAGGCTACTGTGCTGGACCCTATATTTATTTCTTTTTTGAAAAAGTAAAGAATTGATTGATTTGGAAGGTAGAGTTACAGACAAAACTTTCATCCTCTAGCTCAGCTTTGCAAATGTTTTTTGAGGACCAGGGCTGAGCCGACTAATGCCAGGAACATCATCTGCCTTGTGCGCTTGGGGTGCAGGCTTTCCCAGGCACATTATCAAAGAAGCTGGATTGGAAGTGCAGCCGCCGGAATGTGGACATAGGTGCCCGCAGCACAAGCAGTGGCTTTTACCTTGCTGTGCCACAAGCCCAGCCTCCTCAGTTGGGACTGATTTCCGACTGGCTTGATTGGCAGAGGCTGTTTTTGGCCTTCAAAGGGGAAATTTATTCCTCCATGCTTTCACTTCATAAAGGGGATTTACTGGAAGGTTCTAGACTAACTGGTTGAATGCAGATTTCTGGTACCCCTCTCCAGTTCTGCCAGTTCAGGATATCTGGACACTCTAATCCAGGACATTTTTTTTTTTTCAAATTGTTGGTTATTTATTTGAAAAGTAGAGTCAGATGGCCTGGTGCAGTAGCCTAGTGGCTAATACCCTCACCTGTACACACCAGGATCCCATATAAGCGCTGGTTTGTATCCTGGCCTCCCCACTTCCCATCCAGCTCCCTGCATGTGGCCTGGGAAAGTAGTGGAGGACAGCCCAAGGTCTTGGGATCCTGCATCTGGCTTCAGATTAACTCAGCTCTGGCTATTCTGGCAGGCACTTTGGGGAGTGAACCAGTGGATGAATGATCTTTGTCTCTCTTCTTTGTATATCCGAATCTTAAAAAAAATTAAAAAGTAGAGTTAGAGAGAGAACATCCATCCACTTTTCATTCCCCAAATAGCAGGGCGGGCCAGGCTGAACCTGCTCCAGTCTCCCATGTGAGTGACAGGGATCCGGATACTTGAGCTTGTCAGCTGCCGCCGCCCAGCGTATGCATTAGCAGGAAGCTGGGTGGGAATCAAGAGCCAGAGCTCGAACCCAGGTGCTCCTGATATGGGGCACAGGCATCCCAGTCGGCAGCTTAAGCCCCAGCTCGGCAGAACCCACCCTCTTTTTGGAGATAGTTTGCTCTCAGGGACCATGAAAAATTCTAAGCAGTGGGGACTTCAGGAGGGCTGCCATGCTGCTGCTGTCACCAGGTGGAGCGAGCTGATGAGGCTGCGTCCAGATCTGGAGAGCAAGATCTGCCCCGGCTCTAGAAACACGGGGTCAGATGCCATCTCAGCTGGCAGACTCGGGGTGGGCCGAGGCGATTCTGATCGGGATATCTGCTCCAGATGTCGCCTGAGACTATTTTTATCTTTCCCATTTGGGCTTTCTAGCCTCTTGGGACCTGGAAGCATCTGATGAGAAGCCGTCTCTCCTGCCTGGAGCCCAGACGCCAGCTCAGCCGACCTCTGCTGGCCTTGAAGTTGGGCCAGGGCTAGGTGCTGTCAGGCTTTTTCAGCCTGGGGACTGGGGAAGTGCCCACCACCCCTGGCTGGTTACTCAAAACCAGGTCCCTAGGGTCATCCACAACAGCTCCCAACCCCCGAAAGGAAAAGAATAGGCTTTGGCTCTACCTGACATGTTTTCCACTTTACATAAGAGACAGAGTAAAAAGCCCCAACTTCTGGTT